AGGCGTGGTGGAGGATATACGGTTTAGGATATCGCGGCGTAAGTAGGCTTTTTTAACATTTTATAATTCATTGACTTTACAGGTTTGATAAGATCATTACCAGCTGTTAGAAAAGTCCTGATATGTAAATTTGTACTAAAAACCTGGTCCGACCTCGGAGATACAAGCTGACGAGTCTAAATGTGTAAGGCACGTTATATTGGGAATAATGGCGCAAGAAAACTTATCAAGATCGGATGCCGGAAAACAAACTGAAACTTTTATACAACTACGATGCGTGGCAGGATGGGCAGATGAAATACGCATGCCACTGATATTTCTCGTAACAACCAACATTTTTCTGTCCATTACTACATTTGTCGGTAATACTCTGATCCTGGTCGCCCTTCATAAGGATTCTTCCCTACATTCGCCATCCAAACTTATGTATCGTTGTCTGGCAACAACTGATGTCTGTGTTGGTCTGATTGCTGAGCCTTCCGCCATTATGTATTGGCTGTCCTTGCTCCACGAAGATTGGAATCTTTGTCGCTATGCGGTAGTTACCTATTTTGTGGCAGGTTACATTCTAACAGCAGTCTCTCTCTTGACAATGACTGCAATAAGTGTGGACAGACTTCTCGTCCTGTTGTTGGGAATGGGATACAGACAAGTTGTGAATTCGAAGCGAATATATTTGATTCTCATCACGTTCTGGATTGTTTCGATTCTGCATGGGGCATCTTACATTGTGGATCACCGTATAGCTAATTGGACTGGTCATATCGTTACACCATTGTGTCTAGTAACAGCGACGGTCTCGTACACAACAATTTTTTACCGTCTCCACCACAGCCTAAATCAAGTACAAGTGCATGTCCCACAACAGCCAAGCCAACCAGTTCCACTGAACACAGTGCGATACAGAAAGGCACTGCACAGTGCTCTGTTGGTGCAGTTGTCATTCGCTGTTTGCTATCTTCCATACGGTGTAGCCGTAACACTTCCACCGAAGGGTAGACTATCTACTTCTGAATTTCTAGTCGTAGGTGGCGTTGTGACCTTAATCTTTTTAAACTCTTCGTTGAACCCGTTTCTCTATTGTTGGAAGATTAGTGAAGTAAGGCAGGTAGTAAAGGAGATAATCAGACAAGCACTTTCCTGTCCATAGAGTTGCCTTTAGTCTTAGAGCAAGTTGTGACAGTGTAAGTATCTGTAAGTAAAGAAGGCAAAAAAAAGGCAGAAATGTTATTTAGATAAGAATCAGATCCATTTGATCAGGATTAGTGATGCGCTTTGTTACACTCTTTCGACCTTCAACGGGGGCGAGAAATGAGACGCTATTCTATTCTGTTGTTTGGAAACGACTGATTAAATTTATATTTAGCAACATCGCTGATACATATTACGCTTCATAAAAATTTACGGTATGAGTGTTATTCTCCTGATATTAATATTTTCCGGGGAGTGATCGAAAGGTAAACTAATCCTTTTTTATAGAGCTTCGCTATCACCAATACAACGAAAATTAAGTCCTTTCTAAGCTTTAAATGATTCTAAGATCTCCTTTTTCAGTTTCTTTTATCGATATTATGGATTTCTGTACATATTTTCAATATTTTAATACTATAAATACTTCAAAAGATACTGGTCCACGAAATTAACTTTCTTTATTTGTTATTGATACGTAGATTGACCATTATAGCGAAATCAAAATAAACGTTTTCTCCTCAAATAATTTGTTTTAATACTGTATCAAAGTGGATGTGCAAAACCCTCCACTTTTAAAGGTTTTTGAATCTCTTCATTTCGTCCCAAGAACAAATAGCTTTTCCTCGGTAGTAAACGAGGATCAACACAAACAAACTCTCAAATTTTCATGAAATTATCAGCCAACGAGGAGAAAGTTTTTTGTCACGTGCATGAATCTAGATACTCGATAAAAATGCATATCCGTATTTCGTGACATGCATGAATCTAGATATCCAATAAAAACGCGTATTCATATCACTAGTGATCTGGAAATGCGTTTTTATTGGATATCTAGACTCATACATAAATAAGGAAAACTACTAACGGTTGATTTAGGAACACTTTCTTTTAGCAGTTTACTTCCCTCTTCACTGCTTTTTGGGACACGAACACAGTGAACTGCATTACATTCTGCCATAATCAAGCTCCGACTAAAACCACGGAGCTATAAACTAAATGAGCAAAACTACTATAAATTTAGCATACACTTTGAATTCCGCTAAGAAACCCCAAAGAGACAACAGATGAATGGTAGCTGGTAATGATGTTCAAAATTACGCAACCGATGAAAAGAACGTAACCATACTGTTACGATTTAGGTGATGATCAATATAAGCAGTTTGAGAAGCAATCTAAACAAATAAAAGCACTCGGCCGAAGGGCGGCCTCTTGCTTTCATTTGTTTCTCGATGCTTGAATACCACGATCAAACCCACGAACTCGTTTTTATATACCACTTAACCCTTTAACTCCCAAGATCTCATTAGCAATTCTCCCTACTGTCTGCCATACAGTTCTTGTGATGGTAGTTTGGAGAATTGGGTATTGGATCAACTAAAAATCCCCCGAATAATATTGGTCTTTGTTCTCATTACTTGTCTGGTTGGTATTGTATTGATATTGTTGGGAGAAATTCTGTCTTGGTCACTCATGGGAGTTAAAGGGTTAACGATAAGTCTGCCAATATCCGCAGGATGATAAGATATCTAAAGTTAAAATCGAACCGGCAGAAGCTCTGACTATTCGAACATCTTATTATGAGATAAATTTGACTCATATACAATCTATGTACGGAAAGAACATCTCTTGTTAGCGGTTTTCAATATTATCAGCCAAGGCTGTATTGAAAAGAATTTACAAGATGTTTTGAATTAAAATTTTCTCTCCACATAGCGGCTCTCACAGAGTCTTGGTTTAATGAGGAGATCGATAGCGATCAAATACCGATTGGTGGGTGCGTGGTCCACCGAAAGGACAGAAAGCAGTGTCGTGGGATACGGGTGTGAATTTATGTGTTCCAGCAGATGCCTATTACGCACCGCTTGGATTTAGAGCACCCAGACCTAGAGCGCATGTGGTTGTTGGCTTGACCCCCGCGTTTATAGAGACCGCTGTACATGTCTGCAACTGCAGCGTGCGCAGTGTGCGCAGTGTACTGAAAATCTCGTAGAACCGCTTTGTTTTAAAAGATTGAAAGAGGAGCTACTCAAACAACAGTTGATATTTCTCTCAGCATTCAACATTTTTCTATCCATTATTGCATTCCTTGGAAATACTCTGATCCTAATCGCCCTACACTTATATTCCTAATCTTGTTCCCTTCATCCGCCATCCAAAATCTTTTCCCGTTGTCTCGCAGCAACTGATCCATGCATGGGACTCATTTCTGAGCCTTGATACGTTGCTTACTAGCTTCCTGTGTTTCACGAAAATTGGAATCTGTGTCGCTACGCATCGGCCACATTTTTTTGTAACAGGCTACACTCTGTCTTCAATCTCTCTGTTTATAATGACGGTAATAAGCGTGGACATACTTCTCTCATTGTTTTTGGGGTTGAGATACAGACAATTCGTAACTTTGAAGCGAATATTTTTGCTTGTAATAATATTACGATACCATTTGAGCTTGTGATAATATTTTGGACTGTTTCAGTCCTATCTGGGACGTCATACTCTATAGATCGCTGTATAGCCATCTGGTATGACTATAACGTTATACCACTATGTCTGGTAACAGCAACATTCTCGTACCTAAACATTTCCATCGCCTCCAGCGTAATCAAAATCAAGTGCAAGTGCATGTTCCACAGCAGCCGAGCCAACCAGTTCCATTGAACATGGTGCTTTACAGAAAGGCAGTGCACGGTGTACTGTGGGTGCAGTTGGCATTAGTCGTTTCCTGTTTACCGTATTTCATAGCCGCAGCAGTTCTGTCAAAAGAGAGACCTTATCCTTCCGAATTTATCGTTATTTTATACTGCAGTATCCCTAGTTTACTTTTACTCTTCTCTCAACCCCTTTCTCTACTTTTGGAAAATTAGTGAAGTGATCATTGTCAAATTCTACTGACAAGATCACGATCAGCTGTTGACTAACTTTAAAAAACCCTTCCCAAAAGCGATCCTCGGAGAGACATGCTTTCTTACTGGTTGTAATAAACGTTGAAGTGGGAATAATAGCACAAGCAAACTTTTCTCGTGGAGCCGAAAAACAAACCGAAACTTTTATACAACTGCGATGCGTAGCAAAATGAGCAGATGGAATACACAAGCCAATAATAACTCTCTCAACATCAACATTTTTCTGTCCATTACTGCATTTCTTAGCAATTCCCTGATCTTAGTCGCCCTCCATAAGGAATCTTCTCTTCATTCACCATTCAAACTTATGTATCGTTGTCTGGCAACAACTGATCTCTGTGTTGGTCTGTTTACTGAGCCTTAACTCTGCTTCTAACTCTCTCTGCTGAGAACGCTCTAAGATAACTCACCAGAGCTGTTTCAAAGTATGAATTAGTTAAATGTTTACTTTTCGGTTAAGTTTCGGTAGTTTGACGGCGTAATCGGCGATTCATCACAAGGCGGGATAACGAAGAAGTTCATAGCTAGAAAGTTTGCAGATTTTAGTATCGGCTACCATCATATGAAGACACATTTTTGCGACGCAAGGAGAACAAGGGCTTCTCGCCATTTTGGCAAAATCCGCCAAAAAGCAGTCGAACTCGTCGTTTTCGTGGAACTGCAGACCCTATGAAGTTACACTTTAGTTTTAAGTCATTTCAAAGGAATTCAGTGTTAAATTCGTTTACTTTATGGCTTTTTTTATACTTGGGGAACGTGTCTTATCTCAACAAATAGTTCCACACAGTGATTGACGCGAAAAGTACGAGTCGAATTGTTCGGAAGAAATTACCTTGAGCTCCGCATGCGTCGTGATGAAAGCACGTGAGACTGCACAATTACTGGATGATATGCACACGATTTGGGACATTTGGTTGTAGTTACGTCGAGTAGTCCTCCATGAAGGTTGATCAATTTTGTTTTAAAAGATGATAACCAGAGGCGAGATTTCTCTTCGGGATATTGGTCATAAGATAACATTCTTTCAAAGCCTCGCACGTTTCATTTGTCCGAAACATTTGTTGTTGAGAACATTAGATGTAAACATCGTCAAATTATGCAATATCTGATTTTGAGCTATTTCGCGAATTGCCCCTATAAAAAGTAGAGGCAGGCCCGCAGAGATTTTTATATATTACAAACTAGAATATAATAACCAGCTAGGTGGGTAGTTTCAGTTCCAGAATCGTTGTACTTTTGGAGAAATTCAGATAAACGTTTTCCCTCTTTTACCCGGCAACAAAAATAATCGAAACTGTACCGAGATGAATAATCTATTGGTGTGTTCACGTTCACTCCCAGCGAAAATTGAATGAATCAAAGTGAAGACGAATGATGTTACTATGTATGGTAGAAGTGCCAATTTGTAATGTTGTATTTAGCTTGAGATGAGAAACAAACATTAAAATTTTTTTTGCGACGTTTTTGTTTGAAAATGAGGCCCCAGGCCTCGAATAAGCAGCCGTTGTTACCATAGCAACAAGAGTGCTGCGACCTTTAAAAAGGGCACTTTTGTGCATCCCCCCTGAGTGCCTAACTGCATGCAAAATTTGAAGGGGGGTTGAACATTTTCATTTCCCCAGATGTTTGATTCTCACAAACTTATTTTTAATGCTTCTGAATACAGCTATAATAGGAATTACATAATTATGCAATTGCCTACATATGTGAACCAGTGCAATATACAGTCATAAAAGCAATTCTATTCTCGTCTTCCCCCTTGAAGGGTGCCTTGCGTATCAAATATGTCAAGTTCAGTACCTCAAGTAATAAGTGGCTTTGAGCAGCAAATAATCAACCGATTATGCCAAATTATCGAGTCAAAATTTAATCAGACATAGTTGAAAGTTTAAAATGTGCTTTATTTGTTGTGAAGAAACGGATTTAACGTTCTTCATTACTAATAAAATTCCAAGGTTGTAACTCAATTAATTCAAAAGAAAATATTCAAGGGAGCCTTTTTAATTTAGCCTTTCTTTGTTCTTTTAGGTGTTCCTCTCGCCGTGTTCTACCTATTTCATTGTGCTTTCTAACTCTCCTTCACGTTTTGTTTTTACTCGCTCTACTCCTTCTACTTCTTACTCTCTGTGGTCACTCTGTCTCTTTCTTTCCAGCCTATTTTCACTTAAAACTCTTTCTCCACGAACTTGAATCGCAATAATATCCTCCGGTTGACATAGCTTTAGGTCTGCCGGTATTGTTGCTTTGCAAGTTGATTAAAAATTGCAAAATAATGAGAATTACCGTTCAACTGCAACTACGCCAGTATGATTTCTCGCTCAAAATGCTGCCGATGTTTCTTGACGCATACTGGTGGGGTATCCAAGTTCCGCACGCAATTGCGCCTGCGCATTACCTTCTCCCTCACTCTTCGAATTCCGTAATAGCTCAAAGTGACCGCAATGCAGTTGCCGCGCATGTTAAAAGTAACTCATTGTACAGTCGGTCGTTTGGGCGTAATTCCAAATTTTTCGGCTCAATGGGTTACTATTATTTCATATATTTATGGGGCTACGATTCGCGAGCTCCGCTATAAAAATAGTTTAGTTGGTGTGGAGGTGCCCTGAAAACTTGACGATATGCATCGTTCAAAACTCCTTTATCGAATGAACACGACTTAACCGAGTGTTCAAGTGACTTATTTTAACTACGAGACCAGAATATTAATTAAGATATATTTTCTACATAAACGTGCGTCATGCACAAAATGCGAAAAATTGTATGAAAATGAATCATATCTGAATTTATACCATAATATAATCACGAAGAACGCTTTAATTGGTCAAAAAATAAGTCGACTATTATCTCGGTAAACCCGTAGAAAACTTAAATATTTTCCTGCGTTGAGAAATGGCGCCACATGGAACGAATTAATTTATTGAAGGTCTTTGATTGGAGGTAACGAAAGGACGCTTTGAATGCCGAAAACAAGAAGAATTTTTTTCCTAACATTACTCAAATTTTCTAATTAAAATGTAGCTTTACTAACTCGTCTTGCCGTTTCAAGGTTTACTTTTCTCTGTGCGGTGGAAGTGAAAAAAATTCAGAAATTCCCGATTAGATTTGCCCACACTGCTCGCTGAAAAGGAATAGAAAACTTTTCATGTTTTTCGTTTTTCACTCAGAAATTCATTAAAAATTTTTTCTGCGTGAGAACAAAAACCACTTGCAAGGTGGATGTCCACCCCAGATTTACATAAATTCCATTAGCTGTCTGCGATTTCAGCTTTCATTTCATGGTTTCAGCGTTTCAGAATATTTAGAATATTTCAGTTTTGTTGAATCAATTCCTTCAGTTTCTGTCGCGGCCCCAAATTTAGACTAAAAAATTCGTATTTTCCTTTATCTTTGGCATTGACCACTACACTAATACGCAACCGCGGTTTTCTTTATGTGTATATATATAGACTGGCAGACAATTCATTGTTAAGTTGGACCTAGTTGATGAGATTGTCAACGGCTAGTAAGCTGATAGAAGGAGAGGCCGTGATATTTATATTCATGCCATAAACCTGAGGCAATCCTTGGAGATGCAAGCTTTCCTACAAGGTTAAATTAAACAAGGGCGTTGCAGTGGGAATAATGGCGCAAGCAAACCTATCTTATGATGCCGGAAAACAAACAGAAACGTATGCACAATTGCGATGCGTGGAAGGAAGAATAGATGAGATACACACTCAAATAATAATGATCTCATCGATCAACATTTTTCTGTCCATTACTGCATTTCTTGGCAACACCCTGATCCTGGTCGCCCTTCATAAGAACTCTTCCCTTCATCCGCCATCCATACTTATGTATCGTTGTCTGGCAACAACTGATCTCTGTGTTGGTTTGATCTTAGAACCTGCCGCCGTTATTTATTGGTTGTCCTTGGTTCACAAAGATTGGAATCTTTGTTTGTATACGGTGACTACTTATTTTATAACAGGTTATACTCTTTCATCAGTCTCTCTCTTTACAATTACCACAATAAGTGTGGACAGACTTCTCGCCCTACTGTTGGGGCTGAGATACAGACAATTTGTGACTTTCAAGCGAATATATTTGCTTCTTATCGTATTTTGGATTGTTTCGATCCTTGCTAGCACATCGCACTTTATAAATCCCCACATAGCTGTCTTGTGTAGCTACATCTGTATTCCACTTTGTCTGGTAACAGCAACGTTCTCGTACACAAAGATTTTCCACCGTCTCCATAACATTCCAAAGTATACTCTATCACAACAAGGTATCCAACAGCAAGGGCAACCAGCTCCTCTGAAGCTGACTCGATACAGGAAGGCAGTGTACAATGCACTGTGGGTGCAGTTGGCATTGGTCGTTTGTTATTTACCATACATCATAGTCATAGCAGCTGTGGATAGAGGAAGGCCTCCATCTAACTCTACATTTGTTGTCTTTCAATGTGTTGAGACCTTAGTTTTCTTAAACTCCTCGTTGAACCCGTTTCTATACTCTTGGAGAATTACTAAAGTGAGAAAAGCAGTAAAGGAGACAATCAGACAAGTACTTTGCTGTCCATGGAATTGAATGTTGTCTTTGAACA